TTAAAATTTCAATTAATTTTTAGAATCAAAATTGATACACATTAATATTATATCATTACATATTTTATTTTTTTATTTAAAGCCTATACCAAATATTATACCTATCACTTTATTTAATATATTAATTTTTCTATGCAATTAACTGTTTGGTCCGTTTGGGAATATAAATAACCCATCATGGTATCCCAGGAATACACACCCAAGACCTTAATTGCATCAAAACTTCTTTCCTTCTGAAACCTTATTCCCCTCTCAAGTCAGTAACCATGCAAAGCACAAAACCTCACGCAGCCTTACTGGCCAGCCCCGGCATGGGACATCTCTTCCCCGTGCTCGAGCTCGGCAAACGCCTCATCTCTAACCATGGCTTCCATGTCACCATCTTTGTTCTAAACACGGAAGCATCCACCGCCAAAAACCAACTTCGGGATTCACCTGATTCCAGCCTATTGAATCTCGTCCCACTCCCACCTGTTGACATCTCAGGCAAAGTTGGCCCGGATGCTCATATAGTAACCCAACTAGTTGTCATGATGCGCGAGTCCCTTCCGGGCTTACGGTCTACCATATCCGCAATGAAGTCCCGCCCGACGGTCTTGATCGTTGACTTGTTTGGAACTGAAGCTATGGCGGTGGCGGATGAGTTCATGATGTCAAAGTTCGTCTTTATTGCCTCCAATGCATGGTTCCTCACCTTGACTGCATATTTTCCGACCATTGATGAAATGGCGGAAGATGAGCACATAAAAGAACAACAGCCACTCAAAATCCCTGGCTGCAAACCGGTGAGGTTTGAAGACACACTCGAAGCCTATCTGGACCGGAATAATCAAATGTACGATGAGTACACACGGATAGGGCGTGAAATAACGGCGGCTGATGGGATTTTGGTGAACACATTCGAAGATTTGGAGCCAACGACGCTCAGAGCGTTGAGAGATTCCAAGAAGTTGGGCAAGATAGCTAAAGTGCCGGTTTATACAATCGGTCCAACTGTGAGACAGCTTGAACTACCGGTTATGGGGAACCCGGTTCTGGATTGGCTAGACATGCAACCAACCGAATCAGTGATTTATGTTTCCTTTGGAAGCGGAGGAACCTTACCGGCCAAACAAATGACAGAGTTGGCTTGGGGGTTGGAGCTTAGCCAGCAGAGGTTCATTTGGGTGGTCCGTCCTCCGGTGGAAAACGATGTTTCTGGAAGTTTTTTCACCGTAGGCAAAATTTCCGATGGCACCCCAAATTACTTACCGGAGGGGTTCTTGACTCGAACCAAAGACAGAGGACTTATTGTCAACGCGTGGGCGCCTCAAACACTGGTCTTAAGCCACCCGGCGGTGGGTGGATTTTTATCCCACTGCGGGTGGAACTCAACCTTAGAGAGCTTAACTAATGGGATTCCGATGATTGTGTGGCCACTGTACGCAGAGCAGAATATGAATGCTACGATGCTTACGGAAGAGCTGGGGATGGCGTTTAGGCCTAAGGCTTCGGAGTCAAGCGGGATTGTGGAAAGGGAAGAGATAGAGATGATGGTGAGGAAGATCATGGTAGAGGAGGAAGGGAATAGGATCCGGAACACAGTAAAGGAACTGAAACAGAGTGCACACAAGGCTATGGAAAAGGGTGGTTCCTCTTACTGTTCATTCTCCCAATTTGCCAGAGAATGTGAGATAAGTCTAAAGGCCAGGGCTCAAGGAGCATAGACATCAGGTTGCATTAGCTATCATATCTGTATGGCAGCTAGAATTAAGAAATATTTTGAATGCAGAGTTTATGGTTTTATATAATAAGTGGGTATTGATGTTTTTGTTTCTTTCTTTATTTGTGGTGCTCCTCGATGATGTTTCACTGTCACCATCTTAATTTATGGTTTATGAGAATCCTATCATGTGGATCGATCTGTTATATTTCGGAAAGGAAAAATTATATATAAGTTCAAGCTGAGTACGCAATATTTCTCCGATTGGTATTGGCTTTGCTCACACTTATTTTATTGTTGGATATTTGATTTGTAATCTTACAACCGATCGTTAAAGTTGATATATTTTATGGGCATATCATTTGCTGTTAGCCTGTTAGAAATGCTATAGGTTTAGTTTTATTGCCAGTTAGTGGCATCTTTTCCTAGTGATTATTATTCATCTCTTTACTAATTATTTTTGGCCAACCTTGTACACTTATTTAATAAAAAGTCAATCTTCACTATAAAGAAAAAAAGCTATGATTCTTATTACAATGTTCAAGAACTATGATCCATGCCAAAAATGCGGACCAATCCATGGCTTCTTAGATTGCCTATTTTCAAAAAAAAAGAAAAAGAAAAAAAGAAAGACAAAAAGCCATGGCTACTTCGAATTACCTCTTTCATTTGTCATTATCAACGAGAAGAATTGAAGTTGATTACGGTATAAACTACTCCCATTGTTCCACTTTATTAGTCGTTTTAGTTTGTTACACTAAGATTAAGAAAATAATTAATTTCAATGTTAAATAATGTACAAATATCATCTTGCCCTTTTGGTACTTTTCTGGCATTACTCATTGTTTCTCTTATCACTTTCACTGATTTGTCTTCCATCTGTTCTTTTGTTGGTGAAAAAAGTTCATCTGCAAGTTATTTTCATTTCAATCCAATTATGCTTCTAATTAGTCAAAATTTTCATTCTAATTTTATTTTTTCAATTTTGTTTCCACCAAAAATTGTCTATAAAATCTAACTTGAAGCTGTTGAGAAAAGATGGGGTTTCATAGCTGTACATATATGAGCTATTTGATGGTGATTTGAAGGAGTGGAAAGTGGAGCAAGAATTGGGGGATTTTATTGAAAAATATAACCAAAAGTAAAAGGTTGACTCTTCTAGAGCAAGGGATGCAAAGACAAGAAATTTTGTGACTCTGTTGGTTTTCTTTCTAGTGGTAAATCTTAATCAAGACCTTTCTTTCTGGTGGTGGCATTTCTTTTCGAAATTCATGGGTTTTGATTGAACTAATTTTGTTGGTTGTGGTGTTTCTATGTTTGCTTCTTCTAAGTGGTGACTAGCGTTTGAAGTCTCTTGAATATGTGGTTTTTGTAGTGAAATACTTCCTTTAGATAATGGTAGTTTGGAAGGCTAGAATCTTTTATTGGTTCCAATCTTGAATTACTTTGGTTTTTTTATCTTTGTTGATTATATATTGAAAAGTTTTTCAAAATTCTTAAGCGAGAAGAAGAAATAGAGAGTAGTCTAAAAGACTTTAGGCTTTTAACATGCTCTGGGTGTTTCAAAGGATAAAAGTGAAAAAAAAATTAATGGAGAATTGATATAGTAAAAACATCAGATAAAATGGAACAAAAATCCTTGCCTAAAACATCTAATAAAATGGAATAGAGGGAGTACTACTATCTATGTACGAGGGAATAAATTTCTTTCAATATTGTGAGAATCTCACTTTCTCATTAAAATACAAAAAAAATACTGTATCATTTAAATTATATTGGATTACATAATAGTAATTATCGAATAAGGCTAACTTCACAGATATTAGAGTCCTTTTTCCATTGAAGGACTTTTATTTTATAATTTAATATAATTCAAATTACAATAAAAAAACTCTTAAAATAATTTGGGATGTGATTATTGCTATCACAAATGTTGTTAAGACTGCTAAAATTTTGGATTTGTTTCTTAAATAGTATATAAACATGATTGATTTTAATTTATTAATTAATAAATATTAATTATTTTATCAGTTATTAATTAATAGTTATATTTATTAATCATTTTCATCAATCAAATAAAAAGATTTTGTATTTTTAATGACAACATTTTACAATTTTCATGACCATAACACTATTATTGGTGACCATAACCCTTCCCCTAATTTTAGGGATTGTATTTCCAATTAAATGTAAAATAGATTTTAAATGTGTGTAAATCGACAATAATTCAATATATTGTCAACGAACGTTGTGGAAAATTTTATTTTTGAAGATAATTTTCTTTTGCAGAAATTTGGACATTATTTAAAATATCTGAGTTCCAATTTTAAATTTGAATTTCTGTTGTAAACTGAAGTTAGCGAATAAACTTGGCATTAAAAAATTTCTTGGTGGTGATGGTTGTTATAACATTTTTTTTTTTTTTTTTTGTTTCCCTTGGCTGAAGAAAGCCCATTAGTTAGACAAGTGCTCACCGGATCAAACATCTTGGGTTGGCAATTTAATTTAATTAATATATATATATTATGCAATTAATTAATATAAATATATTATGCGAACCTGATCCTTCGGGTCAAGTGACTCTAGCAACGTTTGTAAGTTTGTAAGGTTCATATCTCTCCTCAGGACAACGGTTCGAGCCGACCCCATGACAAAAATATTAAAAAAATATATATATATATATATATATATTATGCAAGCATAAGGGTCTTAAGCATGTGGTTGTTGAAATGGACTCCTTACCTGCAGTACAGGTTATAAATGACCAAAAAGAGCAAGATAGTCTTTCAGCGGTTCTTGTGTCTGACGTCAGAAGGCTCAACACACACCTCGTGAAAAAATTTTCTTTTTTGACAAATTAATAGTTAAGAAGTTAGTGTAAATTAATTCTTTAAAATTGGTTAATATTTCATCCCTTCAAATGAAGCACACAATCATCAAATTACTTTTTGGTAGAGTTCACGACGATAATGAAAGTCGAAATTTCGATCACCTCACCCGAACATTTAAGGTTTGGAGACAAACTATTGAATATAAAAACCGGATTCGTCACACCTCGTGAATTGGAACAACTGTCTTTGATTCTCCTCCGCCTGGACTGAATGCTTTTTTAGAAAGGGACATGTTAGGTGTCGCTTTTCGCGACATTGATTAGTTAATTTTTCTTCATATGTAACAAAAAATATATATATGTATATACATACATATATAGATATACATAAGAATCTCATTTTGACGGTCAGCGTTGAGGGTTCCTAAGTACATAAAATTATTGGATATTTTGGATCGGTTTAAAAACAATTAGATTTTCTTGCTTTTAGGTGGGGCTCTTATTAAGATTTTTAGATCTCCAAGTATCCATCATGTGTCACATGGGCAAAAATTTAAAGAAATGTTCATCTTCCCAGTAATTTTTACCAACACGATTGTGCCTCACATGGGAATTTATCTCCCCGTTTTACCGTTTTCGAGATATACCAGACAAGGACAAACAAAGCTTGGTTTCACATCAAAAAGTAAAGAGCCTACCAAGAGATGACTTGCCCAAGAACGTTTACCTATCAATGCCACTCTATACCAAAGTCCCAAACCATGTCTTGGTCTTCTTCTTCTTCTTTTTTTTTTTTTTTTGAAAAGAATGTCTTGGTCTTCTTTAGTGACATTACAATTTATTTATTCTAGTCAAGATGGACACATTGTCTTGTTTTAGAAGTAAAGGATCGTGCAATACATTTTAGTTTAGTTCGTAAAGAACGGGATTGTGCCACACATTTACCTTGGGTTTTTTTTTTTTTTTTTTTTGCGTTAAGGTGTTTTTGTGTCAATTTTTATATGTTTTTTAACTAATTCCTCAATAGAGGATCTAAAGGGCATGCACACCAACTATATTGGCCTAATACATTAAAAAAAATAATTTTTTAGATATTATATTTAAAATTTAAAATTTAAATTTAATTTATAAAATAACATTTAATTATCAATAAATTTAATCTGATGGTTGTTTAGCTTGGAATTCAAGATAAAAGTTAAGGATCATTTTACTGCGTCATCGTCGTGTCGTGTACGTGCCTTTACCCAAGACGCACTCACCAAGTCCATTGCCAAAGAATCAATTTCTTCTTAGGGAAGCTTGGTCAAATACGTACGCAAGACTTCACAGTTACGGTCCTTTGCAGTTTCTCATACACACCCAGGAGACATATTTTCCAATGACTTGAGCTGAAAGTCTTTTAGTCCTCCATGTTACCTATTTGGCTTAATTCAATTTTTAGTCTATTAACTATCACATTAATTTCATTTTAGTCTAAAAATTATGTTTTATTTTTAAATGGTCTATTAACTTTCAAATTCATTTCAATTTCATCTACCTGGTTATCTTTGACGGAAAACTTACTATTATGTTAGAGAAATAGTTAGTCCTCTAACTATATTTATTTTGATTTTTTAGTTCTCAAATTTATATTTACTGTAAAAATAACTTTTATACTTAAAATTATTATTTCTAGGCTCTGATACTGAATTTTTATTCAGGTTTTTACAACTTAACTCAGACTACTATTAACTAATGAATAGCTGATATGTTAAGCTTGGTTAGTGTGGAATTAGATCTTCTAGACTACTAACAAAAATAATCACTTTCTAGTTATGTCTAAATTTTATAAAATCTTTTATCCATATCACTTTTTAATTGTAGAATTATTCTGTTATACATTTTTACGATTTGATTACAAATTTTTCAGAGATTGCTTTTAATGTCTTTAATAGACCTTATTTTTTTCTTTTATTTCTTTCAATTTTTTAGAGTTTTTAACATTATTTATTCTTTCTTTAATAGAATCAAATTCTTGAAAAAGAGATTTTCTCATTTCTTTAATTCTTCTTAGGGTATTTTCATTAATTGTTTCTA